TATAGTCTTTAAATTGTTCTCCATACATCTGTGTAAGTAAACGTGTGAGACTGCCCTGCAACGGCCTGGCAGCCTGTCCAAAGTGTCCAATGTTTATACTGCCTTACTTCAGTTGTCAGCCAAATTGGCTCACATTGGACAGAGTGGTCACTCAAAATGGAAGAATGTCTAACCTCCCTCCCTGTTGTATCAAATTGATACTGGTTTGAGTGGTATAAACACATTAATGATTGACTGCATAATGAAAACAACTTGTTGTATAACTTAAATTAAAAAAAAATGTTCGTAGAAAAGGTTACGAAGTCTGTAAAATAGATCTTAAAATGTCTGTCTAATGGCACTTATTTAAGTATGAAAGGAGAACTGGGAAGAATGAAGCCCCCTTCACACTACAAATGTTACTTACAGGAAAAAAACAGATGTGGAAGTAAAGAGTTCTGTAGGTTTGCTTTGATGGTACTAGTCAAGAAAAGAATGACGAAAATAATTTTGTTGCTAGTAATAATCAATAATTTCAATGTAGTTCATCTCAATGTTTTTGCTATGTACTGTATGCCTACACAAGTATATATTCAGTATTACTGATAAGACAGTTCATGAATGCCTACCTCTAAATTTAAAAGTCAGGAAATCATTATTGTTATAATCTCAGAACTAAAAATGCATGCATTAGATAAAGTGAACATCCCTTTACTCGTGTGATACGACCTGATGTCCCATTCAAGTTAAAGACAAACAAAAGTCAACTATTACCCACTACACTGCCACCTAGTGGGCACATGACATAAATGAATGAATCCTCTAAATCTGCTTTCAAAGCTGGGTTCCCCTTAGTTGCCATAATATACTGATGTTATAACACTGTGAACATCGTTTTCTGTTTAAATAGTGGGGGTGCCTCAGGTTCAACATCCCTAGAGCTGAAAAAATACAGAATTTAACTTAAGGCCATGCTGTGGTTCCCAGTGAAAATCTGAGCTTTATGAATGGTTTTGTAGAGACTGAATTAATACCTTGCTCTTGCCTGGGAGACATTTTAGTGTCATCCCCTTGGACTCGTCTTGTGGTATCACAGGAGAACTAGTGTTTCTTCAGGCCTAAGCTGGTAAAATAGTCTTTTGGGGGATCTGACCCTTCTATGTTTAAGTTAAAATAGCTTACAGAATTAAAACTTTGGAGCTGCATGACATTGACTATGACCTTAAACTTAAGCAAATGATACACTTAAATGCCTTTGGTCTACTATAAAAGCAAACCTACAGAACTCTTTACCTCCACATCTGTTATTTCCTGTAAGTAACATTTGTAGTTCTTCCCAGTTCTCCTTTCATACTTAAATAAATGCCATTAGACAGACATTTTAAGATCAATGTATTTTACAGAATTTCATAACCTTTCCTGTGAAGTTTTTTTAAATCAAAGTTATACAGTCATACAGTTCTCTGTGCATTATAATAATAATAATAATAATAATAATAATAATAATAATAATAATATAATTTAAATCATGCATCTTATTAGTACTTTGGTTGTGGTATCAGTCTAAACATAAGCTTATTTTTCTCCTAATGCTGGATCATTGGCAATTTTCAGGTTTATACACATCCCGAAACATGGTGATATGAATATGCATAACAGAGCAGACACTTACAGGATACTGTGTATGTGAACTATACTTATCTGAGACCATGAGGAGACAGTACACTCTGAGAGGGATGTTGTAAGTCTTATGAAACTACCTCCAAAGAATAATATAACATAAACCTTTCATTCTAATATATGAACTGAAATGCTTTACGGCCTTTGCAGCAAAATGTCATCTACTTTGCTTATCTTTAGACTGATACCACAACTAAAGCACTAATAAAATGTGTGATTTAAATGATTATAATGCACAGATAACTGTATAATTAAAGGCAGTTGAGTGTATCATATGCTTAAGTTTAAGATCTCAGTCAATAATTTAAAATACTGACCTTTTTAATAACATTAAAAAAAATCTTGTTGTATCTGACATGTTTTAGCAAATGTTAATCTTTGTGTTTCATACTGTAACTGATGCAGGGCTTTTATTCAAGCAATATGGATTATACTAAACCATAATGTACAGTATTGTTGTAATACTACTGTATATTCATCAACTAGTTTCTGCATGATATCTGAACCACTCACTTTTGAGTTTCTGTCTGATTAAGTGTTTGAGCAGACCCCACATTTTGTATACCAAATACTGTACAATTTTTTGTCTTACAAAAACCTTTTGATTTTTGTACAAACTGCCTGGTTACATACAGTACCAGTAGGGTTGTAAAACTCACCCTATACTGTATATATACTGTTGATACGTTTCTTTTTCTGCCACTGAGCAAATAGCATAGGTGCTGGAAACCATGTATACAGTATCCAGCACAAATGACATCTTGAAAAAGATAAAACAAGAAGTAAAGAGGTTCCCATCTCATCTGAATAATTTGAATTCCAAAAATGATAAATATACATGTTAAGGGAATTCAAATATGCAATGTGTTGCAGCACAGCATCAGCAGAAAGATACAGCAATAGGTTGTGAGGGGTTTGTGAGGGGTTTTATTTCTGTCCTGTGTGTCACGGCGCCAGAAGCAATGACTTTTGAAAGGCCAAAGGTCTCCGATGATTCTGTAGTATATTCTAAGCTAACGCAACTGTGAATTCTAACTGAACAATTCAACAACAGTCTCAAAAAATGTCACATTTAAGCCTAAAATATGATTTAATATTACTTTGAATTATTTTTTTTAAACTAATAAGAGAAAAAAAAAGAATTTAAAGTTCAGGAACGGCTTGTTATGTGTCGTATTATGTAACCTTTGGATCTTTGGCCTTTCCTTTGCTTGCTTATACAGATGCCCTGTTAATTTGTTGAGTGAACAGTTTAATTAATTGGACTTGCTGTTCTTTTCATACAGGAGAATGTGTAACTTTCAACTCCCAGTATGCAGGTGCTCAGGTGGAAAGGTGAGAAACTTTAGAATGGCCAAATTTACAAAGCCCTCGCAAAGTGTTCTAAAGTGAAGACTCATTTTTTTCAGTTTGTTAGCATTCTTCTGTTCAATAACTTTAAAAGAATAATGATGTATTATAGTTATATGTGCATTGTTCTACTGATTTCAACAAAACTAAATGTAATTGTTGAACCAGATATTGAGTTGACATTCTTTTGAGGTTATGTGTAAATTGTTATATAATTACTAGTGAAGGTTACTAACAACAAGTAAAACCTGATCCGTTCAAGATTGACGAACATTTAAAACATCCTGTGATCCGCTACGCCTCTATGTACAAAAATGTGCGAACACTGCCATCTAGAGATCTGCCTTTGAACTCTTTTATATGTCTCGGTGTACAGGTAATAATGACAATTTTAATCAGCCTGTCGATCAAGAATTAAAACAGGATATTTTATCACGTATTCAAGTCTGTCAAAATATCGTCTTGTACCCAATGATAACTTCTCACCAAGAAAATAACTTTTGCAATTAGCTGTATATTTAAGTTTTAAAAGGTAAATGTATAGGCACAGTTTTACATGTAGATTTTAAAGTTGAAAGATTTCGAAGTTTTATTAGAAATCTATAATGATAAAATGACTGTACTTCGTCAAAAAATTGTTCTTGCATATGCTTTTCAAGCCCTTAGTAGGCAGGCTGTTGGAATAAGCATCACACTACAGTATGTTTACTCCAACACACATACCTGTATAGAGTACAAATTCAAAGACATTCACCTCTGCGGTACATACACATACTGTACATTAAAGAAACCCGAATTACCTTTTGTATGCATATATTTTTTTAATGATGCCCCCGAACATGAAAGCTTATATGATATTACATTTTAGAAATGAAGTATGAATCTTCAAACATTTACTTCTCAGATCACACTTTTTTTGTCAAGAGGTGAAAAAGGAAGACTGACATGTAATCTAAAGAAGAAGCAAACATCCTCTCTTGACACTGTAAAACACCTACAGAACAGTTAAATATTATGGACATCCGCCAGATTTACTTTTAAGTGTCATATTCCTCTGAATGTTAAATGAAATAATGTAAATGAAAACTTTCGATAACTCAACAGGCTCTCTACATATGAATCCTGCAATTACTTTTTCTGTTACTGTATAAATCCTGGGTATCCTGTGTAAAAACTGTACCTTAAATGTCAACTGTTACTATGATGTTACTATATGAATACCAACTATGAAGGATTAGTCGTTAGCCACCTTTTATTTCACTTTAATTCCATTACTTATGATATTCAGATGTATTTTGTGGTAATTATCCTTATTATTTACTATAGTTGCGGTGTTTTATACTGTTAAACCTTATTTTAATTTCTACACTTTTTGTTATGCCTGTCTACATCATGAAGCCGTTTTTACAGCTCTGTAACTGTTTTGAATGAAAGTCACCTGACTCTAAGTTATTAGCTAAATTAACTAATACAATGTTATTAATAAAAGTATAAAATAAGGACTAGAACATGAGCGTTTACAGCAAACCTTGAAATGTGCAAGTCTACCAAAGTTAATTACTTTTGTAAATGCAAACAATTCTTCCAAAACAAGATAAGTCTGGCAAAGAGGAGAAATAGAACAGAATAAATGTGAACAATCCACAAAGGGGACAGTAAAGTTTGCTTCTAGGTATGGCCTTGCTTCTAGGTATTTACTGTACGTTTGACATACTGTACACAATAACAAAGTGTTCACAAATCACTAAATAGCCACCCTTAAAAAAGGTAAGTTATATATTTTAAAAGTAATCAGAGAAATTAATAAAATGTGACCATGACAGATTTGGGATTTAAGCCTTCAAATGAGAAAAACAAAAATTGTTTTGATAACAATGCTAGAATCACATGACACGTCTTTGGTACTACACGTGCATTGACTGTAAGACTGAACTACAGAGGCGTAACCGATGTACAGTAACTGAAGGTTTAAATCAGAGTTAAAAACTTACCTCCCAGACTGGTTTGCTCGTGTAGTCTTTGAACATCACCTCTCTCACCACATTTAGGAGGAGGACAAGAAGGTCAATATGAAATAATTTTCATCCAGCGCTTGGACAAAGTCTTATATCCGTTTCAGATTGGTTAATTGAGCCTCTGTACTGTAGCACGCTCTAGGTACAGTATGACAACTGCCAATGTCCTGACTAGTTAATGCATCCATCCAACGGGACTCCGAATCTCTCGTCCTTCAGACTCCAAGACACATCCGACGATTTTCTTTTGTTGTATCAAAAATAAAGTGTGTGGCTTTAAGGAATAGTGATTCCCCAGAATTGTTTTTTTTTTTCTATTTGGCAATAGTTCAGTTACGGTATATAACGTTCATATCATTGAATACCGAAATCTTCTTGTTTCGCTTTATTTTCCTTCTGTGAGTCTTGTTTGTGCCATCATTTGAGTCTATATTTCCCTCCACGGTCAAATGATACAATATCGCGTTTTTTCGTTTATTGAAGAATTCTGTTGTTGGTGGAGTTTGCATTTCTTCTTTAAAAAATTCAAAGATCAGTAATGTGTTGGCCTTTTTACAACTTCACCAGAAACAAATGACTTTAGCGTCAAGCCGTTGCATGTGTTAGAAATGATATTGTTTTGAAAAAACGGGAATAATGAAAAAAATGATGATTCTTGGTTATGAGCCTACAGCGTTCGACTTTTTATTTAGCATCAGTTAAGTAGATTTTCAGTGCTATGTTGTATACAAATATAAAATTCTGTATTTAAAAAAAGATAACCCATGTTGCATAATTCTTAAAAAAATATATAACAATTATATAAATTCAACTAAGTTTTATCACCTTTGAAGGCTCCGCGGAAAGGGAAATTATTAATCGATGTATTTCTTTCTGATGCCAAAATCAAAAAGTTATGAGAACAGTCTAGAAGGTTGCTATAGAAACGTGAGTCTCTAGAGACGCCTGCAAGACTTTCATTCCTCCGCTCTGTGGCGCTCTAAGCGTTGCAAAGCGTGGTAAAATTAGCATCCATTTTCATGTAAAACAATAAGGGGAAACGTTCCCTTGGCTAATTTTGAATGTATTGACTTGCATACAAGGTGAAATACTAATCGTACTTTTTCTGCCTTTTATGTACCCGACCCGATTGCTTCATCATACCAGGCACTTACAAATAAGCCTTTTGGTGACAGAAAAGGAATGGAAGGAATTAAATTCCTTGACGACTGATGTCAACAAAATGAAGCGTTCTATGTGCAAATTAGATATTTAAAGGCTGTCACAGTTAACAAAGAAAAAAATGATTTCAAAGTACTTATAACTGTTATTGGCAGAAAAATCCATTCTGAGGGGGTAGGATTTAGTGGATAATTTGTTGTGCGAAGAGAAGTTATTTGCTTATTGGCTGCTCGTCACGTTTCAGTGACAGCTGCTTTTTTAATGGCGCTGTGCAGTCTTCAAAGGGCACACACACAAGAGATAGAGTTTCCACTATACAAGACAATGGCATCGCTGCAAGAATCCATCTAACACGGCTAATTCCTCGTATCTGATCAAATGAATGATGCTTTTGGAGTGGCGCTCACGGAAAAATACGTGACCGCGGGAGATGGATACAATAAAACAACAGAGGCAGGTCACCTCTCACAATGACCTTGTGCAGAATTAATTGTGCCGCCCGCAGGTCGTAAGCACAATGTGTAATTCAGAATTAGTTGGTCCTTTCCTTGATCTCTATATACCGTACGTATATTATACATACAGTACGTGTATATATATATACAATACTGTATATAACTGACATGCCAATTTCAAATAATATCTCAGAAGGTTAGTAGTAACGATAGGTTTACTTCTAATAAAGTGCTGAAAAGCGGGGCAGGAGGTTAAAAGAGCAAGTGAAAATGAAGCCCGCTATTTTACGCAGTGCCCAAGATGAAGACACGACACGGAAGACAATTTTAAAAAGGGAAAGAAAAAACCGTACCACTCACAATCCAGGTGTATGTCACCCATTGCTAGAAATTTCTCTGAATTTCAATTCTCACGTTCGATACTCACTTCGTTGCATTAAGGATGCGCGAAACAACAGGCGGCCAATATTTTTAAGCAAAAGTGCTGAATGGGGGGATGTACTCACAGAAACGTTATGTTTCTCTGGTCCAATTACGCGCAGGCTACAATCATACATCAGATAGCTTGCCCGTGTATGCTTTTGTCGGGCTACAGTTTGTATACTTTATTGGATCGAAATCATCTGTCTCCAGGTAGTCTGATTTGTTGAGAGAGGACTTGCTGCCACTCTTCTTCAGTTCACCGAAGGAGGACTGCTGTTGACCGCACGTTACATGGGTGTATTGAAATTGTTCCTCGTGTTCAGTCTCCCTGTGGTAGAAATAGTTGAAATTTGAGACTATGACAGGGACAGGTAGCGCAATTGTCAGCACACCAGCAATGGCACACAACGAACCCACGATTTTGCCACCGATTGTGACAGGGCACATGTCTCCATAGCCCACAGTAGTCATGGATACCACCGCCCACCAAAACGCATCTGGGATACTGCTGAATCCAGAGGAAGGGTCGTCGGTCTCAGCAAAATACACTGCGCTGGAAAACAAGATGACACCTATGAAAAGGAAGAATATCAATAACCCGAGTTCTCTCATACTTGCTTGGAGGGTTTTCCCCAAGATTTGGAGTCCCTTGGAGTGTCTGGAGAGCTTGAAAATCCTGAAGACTCTTACCAAACGAATAACTCTCAAAATTGCTAAAGACATGGCTTGCTGGCCATTTCCCTGATGTTCTGCTAGCTCCATGCCCAGGGTGATGAAGTAGGGAATGATAGCCACTATGTCGATGGTGTTCATGATATTTTTAAAGAAAGCAGGCTTACTCGGACAGGCGAAGAACCTCACTAGCAACTCAAACGAAAACCAAATGATGCACAGCGTCTCAACAATGAAGAAGGGGTCAGTGAACGGGTTGGGTTTGACGCTGCTAGTCCCGTTCAAGACCAGATGGTCGTAAAATCTGTTCTCTTCCCTAAACTCCGGCAACGTCTCTAAGCAGAAAATAACAATTGATATTAAAATGACGAGAACAGAGACTATTGCAATCCCTCGAGCTGGTCCAGAGCTCTCGGGGTATTCAAACAGAAGCCAGACCTGACGCTGGAATTCATTATTCGGCAACGGGCGTTCTTCCTCCTTGATGAAACCTTCGTCCTCCTTGAAATTTTCGATTACTTCCTCCCCTAGTTCGTAAAATTTTATCTCCTCCATGAAAATGTCCACGGGCACGTTAACAGGTCTTCTAAGCCTCCCTCCCGACTGATAATAATAAAGTATGGCATCAAAGCTGGGGCGATTTCTGTCAAAGAAATATTCATTCCTCAGCGGATCAAAGAAACGCATCCTTTTCCTGGGGTCGCCCAGTAAGGTGCTAGGGAACTGCGCGAGGGTTTTAAGCTGGGTCTCGAAGCGCAACCCGGAGATGTTGATAACCACCCTTTCACAACATTCCTGGTCCGCTTGCTCGGGATCATAGACATCGTGGGACAGGGCTGCCAGTGCCACAGTCTCGTCTAGATTTTCACCGGGCACCACTGTCATCTTCCCCCCCAAGGGTAAAGCTCCCCTCGCTGTGATCCGTCTGCGTTTTGCTCCGGATACTGTACGTCGTCCTCAATGTGTGGCACAGATGTTCTGAGTCACTTGTAGAATAGAAAAACCTTACTTATTTCCTTCTGTGGACACTCTTTTGTTTCCTACTTTTATTTTTTATCTATATTTTACAGTCGGCTTGCTCTTTTTGTTCTCATTTTTTTCCAGTTGTACTCGGTTTATCCCATCACCTTCCTCACATTGGCAGTCTGGACTCCTGGCTGTCACATTCACAGCATTTTAAACAGAACTGCCCTCCCCAAGTCCTCTGACGTGGAGACGCTCTCTCACTGCAAAAAATACATGCACACGCCTGTCTTAATGTGATACCGATGATATTCAAAACACTAGAAGCATGCTACAATGTCTCCTATTCTACACTCCCTACTGTATGTATATGTGCTCCTTAACATTTTTCTATCTGGTAATCTTAAATGCAAACCTTTAATTTGGGGATTTGTTTTTCTTTCAAGGCTAAGACTACACAGTACGTACATCGTTAGGCTTTCCTACTCATTGAATAGCATTTACCTATTTCGATAACTTTTCCATTGATTTAAGCGTCAGGTTATTTTAATTGTAGAGAATAAAAGATGAACAAGCGATGTCTGTTCATTTAATACAAAAACATTCTAGCAACGAATATCAAGCTGTTTCCAGATTAAGACGTTTTAGATGGCAATTTCTAGACGACATTAATTCGCTTGCATTTAAATTTGCATTAAGGACGTTGCATTTAACGGTAAATCTCCAATTTACATTAGACCACGTCTCGAATTCTACATGCCCTTGGTCAGTTTGCTGCCTACCCCTTGCAGTTTGCTTTGAGAACTGGGATTGTTTCTTGAAAAGAAGCTAAATGTGGCAGAGTAACAGGAAACCGTTTGTGGCTTGATGTGCAGAAAATATAACGGCGAATATTCCTCAACAGCTATGAGGAGGGGGTGAAGGGAGCACATTTAAGCTATAGACTGAAGATTAATAAATATATCTGAGTAGCTAGACTCCGATTTTCATTATGCGCAAAAACAAACTTGTCACAGACGTAGGGAATGTTGTGTTCGCTTAAATGCCTGTCACTTCTGTGTGTAATTTTACAGATGTGTGATGTGACAGCAAGTAAGCAAAGTATACATGATCACGCACAAATAACTTTGGGAAAGCAAAAAGTGAATATTGGGACAGGGTGCTGACTGCTGTGTAGGGAATCTTACATACAGTACAGTATACTGTACGTTTTTCAATAACAATTGGATCGTATACATTGCTACTGGGCGCAAGTGGAAATAGTTCGGAGGTTCCGGAGATATTGTCAAACATTTTAAGAAGATACATAAATATTAAAAGAGCTCAAAAAATACATTTCGATTGGCCATGTAGTCATAAGAACACTTTAATTTTTTTTATATTTTCTAGCATTTATTAAAAATCTGTCACAAAGTGTGCACTACTTTGTACTGTTATTATTTATTAGCAAGAAAAAACACTGTCCCTTGAATGTCCGTTTTACATATTTATACAAATGCATGTGTATACTGACAAAACAGAAATAGTTTTTTCAACTATGGCGTATTTTGATGTTTTAAGGCAGCAATTTATATAATATATTATTTATTTAGATTTTTCACGGCGTTATATAAATTATATATACATAAAAGCTAAACAGATCTGCGCCTTCGACACAGCAATAGCGACAAGAGAAACTGATGAACAGAACCCAGTTTTCTGATTACACCGCGTCTAATTTACCGAATAATAAAAGATTACCACAACTGGGAGGCATACATGTTTAAAATCACTGAAATGAGGTGAATTAAGGGGCGAAGCAGAAACACATGACGTAAACTCTTAAAATAGATTTCTCTAAGGGCCGCAGAAAAGTTTCTTTTCCCATGGAATGTCTCGGGGAACTGATTTAGGAAAAAATAATGTCTTCACATTTCTACCGCTTGGGGGACGACATGCTGCTTCATTCAAAAAACTGAGCAACTTGGTATTCCTCTTTGACCCACCGTGCGTGATTATACTTACACTACATATTTACGGAGTGTTGAATTTAATAACAAGTAAGGTATATTTAGCGAAATGAATGGTGCTTTAAATGAATAAGAAAATATAATTTATTGCATTTACCTTGGCAAAAAAGATCATATTGTATATTTAATTTATTCACACACCACATAACAGCTCATTGAAACATTTCCCATAACCAGCCAATCAATCAATCAGCCTTTAGCAATGGAATAATAAATAGTTTTACATTCTTTAGCAATGGGGGAACAAAAGCAATGCAGTGCAATGTTTCTGTCAAAGGAATACACATTTAACCCCATTTAACCAGAAGAGAAACAAATACCACTGTGCTCTGTGCACTATGTTTTTCTTTTTTATTTGTTTAGTGCAGTTTAGCAAATCTGGTGAGCTCTCTACACCTGAACACCATCATTCATGCTAGAGTTCTGTCAGGGCATCAGCAACCCAGGATACATCTGAGCCAAATCAACAGAAGACCCATCTGACCAGCAGGCCCTAGGAGAGGGGGACCAGCAGGGCCATGTAGCCCGGGCCTCACCTCAGCCAAGGGTGCGTGGTCCTCCACTTTAACCCTTTGGCTGTGTTTCCCGACTTGAGTCAAATTTGGACCTTTTACCACATACCGTGATTCTCACCTCAAGTCCACGGTGACCGTCCCCCTTTCAGTGCTGAATCTACTGTTCTTCAGGAGTTTCAGAATGCCCACCTTAATCTTCCTACCATGCCATTCTTTACATTCAAATATTGTTTACCCCTCTTCCCAAACGATGAGGGGGGCTCAAAATGTGAAATGGCCCGGGTCTCATCTGAGCTCTCGGAGGGCCTGCTGACCAGAACCAAAAAGAAGAGTGTAAGTCCCAATAAAATCAGATGGAAGTGACTCACTGTTGTCCACAGGTACAGTAGAAGCCTGTTACTTCCCTCATAACACTGTCCAGAACCCATGGTCAACCAGCTGAAACAGAAACACCAATGCAGACATTGTTATTTCTTCCTAATGGATTTCTCTTATCTGATATTGATTCAAATTCCAGCCATCATACAGGAGGTCTGTATCACACAGTTCCTCACCATATTTCCATGCAGTAATCTATTAACTAAATGTAGCCACAGCTACTGAATATTTCATTGTTAACTGCCAAAAAAACATTACACATTAAACAAACTGTATAGACATACAGTAACCTTGGCAGCACATAACAAAACAGTAATTAATTCATTTTTTCATTGGTGACTTATTACTTTATCAGCTGTATAATTAGTATACCATTGGTGGTGGTGGAGGGGAGTCCCCATTACCTGTAAAGCGCTTTGAGTGGAGTGTTCAGAAAAGCGCTATATAAGTATAAGCAATTATTATAAATTATAATAATAATTATTATTATTATACTGTATGTAGTTTTTTAAATTGATACAACTTTTTACAGATTTTTGTAATAATAAGAAAATTGATCCCACACTAGAATGCATGCCTAGGTAATAGTAACACCAGTGCCAAAAAGTATTATTTATATTGCATAAGTACCAGAATGTGGGATTGTTTTGTCAGCCCAAAGCTTTCTCTAACGCAGAATGACCCCTAATTCAGTAGTAATAGAGTAGTAGAAATCTGGTTAATATCGCAGGTGGGAGAAATGACGGTGCTGAAAACAGGAAGCACGTCTCGTTTAAATAAAAGAAAAATGTAAAAGACAATTAAAAAAGGCATGTATTTCTCTCTCCTCATAATGCAACAAAAATGCGTTAATTTACACATTAAAGAAATGTGGATGCATATTGTATGTAAGGCTTTTTAGAATGTTACGGTTTTGCAAAATAGTTAAATTTGAAAATGATCAATGTTATTTATTTAGAAGATGTTTTTATTTTGGTGGCTTATATGTCATAATAATAATATTTATAATTTCTCATGTAACTGTAACTGTTGTTTTACAGTATTAAAAGTAGTGTTTTAATACTTTTTTACTTTCAATCAGTGTACACTTGTGTTAAACTTTCAGTAAATACAGTAAACACCAGTTGAAGTGAACAGGAAGTTTAAAAGCAATACGAGATAGAAGATGACAAGAGACAAAATTATTTTTTCATAACTAATCAATGATAAATTAACAATAACCTTAAAACAATAAGTATTTCAGTGCTGACTTACAGTATATGCTAAATGCAGTTCATATCCCTATTACAATTTTTATGATATACATATTTATGATACTTAATGTGAAGTCTAGATACCTCCCACACACCTAAAAAGCTTTATTGTATTTGAGAAGCAACAGTTTCTTGAAGTGATTCCATAAAATTAGTCTGCAGACAGAGACAATCGTGAAAACCGGTGTGTCTTGTTTTGAAAATAATTGGAGTGGAGTAACAAAATATTTTCTTTACAATGCAGCTGAGCCAAATTTGACTAAAGTTTCTAAACAAATGTAATGGTTTTCTTATTCCTCTGTGACACTCTCGGCGTTGTAAAGTGGACACTATTGATGCGCGGGTTGACTCACAACCATGGGTCGGGCGCGCTCGGGTTAAAAAAAAAAAGATTTTAGATCTGGTCAGGTGGGTGCGGGTTCGTTTCTCACAACCGCAGGCAGGTGTGGGTAAAACAAAAGCCAACACGCACATCACACAAATAAATGGCTTAGGGATTTATATCCCTTGACCCCACCATCTAATTGGGCCAGAGGGAGAGGCATCATTACTACAGTAAGTAAGAGTTGGTGCTGTTTGTTACTCCAAGCCATATTCTGGCAAGGAGTGCTTTCTTTACTCCCTCCATAAAATCTACTACATAACAAGAAGTTCTTATAATAATCAATAATAATAGTAATTCCTTACACTTATATAGCACTTCTCTGGATCTCAAAGAGGTTTTGACTCCCCTCCACCACCACCAATGTGCAGCCCCACCTGGATGATGCGACGGCAGCCATAGTGAGCCAGTTCGCTCACCACACACCAGCTATCAGTGGGGAGGAGAACAGAGTAATGAAGTCAGTTCAGAGATGGGGATTATTAGGAGACCGTGACTGGTAAAGGCCTGGACACTGGGGTAACACCCCTACAGTATATCCTAGTTATTAATCTTCTTGGCACATGACAGCAAGTTCCATAAATATAACAAATGTGACCCAAAAGTGTTGCAGACCAAAGTCTAGCCCATCCGTGTCAATTCTATTCTGTCCTTCACCCAACTGGTATTGCACCCAACCTCCATCCTTCGGCTCGTGGGTGGTGAGCCTGCATGATAAGATCAGATCACTTTATTAGCCCTATACAATTACTTGCATCAGGAATTTGTCTTTTCGCATACCCCAGCTTGCTCTCCACGAGACACACAGCCAGAGAGAGAAGCTTGGGGTCAGAGCACAGGGCAAGCCATTGTACAGCACCCCTGGAGCAGTTGTGGTTAAGGGGCTTGCTTAGGGACCCAAAGGAGAAGGACTCCTCTGCTGGCCACTGGATTTGAACCGGCAACCTTCCAGCAACAGGCGCAGATCCTTAGTCACAGTGCCACCGCTCCACCCTCCCCCTGATGTCTCCACACCAGCTGGGAGACGTGGGTAGCCCTGTCACCAGGTGCTCGCTGGCGAACACCACACACAGTGGAGCAAGGTTCTCAGAGTTGTTAACGGACACCTCATGGGAATCTGGTTTGGATCGAGAGGAGCCAGTTGAGTTCGTATGGGAGTTGGTGAGGTTGCCCCCTGGGCAACTCCAGCTGGAGGTGTACCAAGCAGGGCCCACTGGGAAGAGACCGCAGGGCAGAATCAGGACAAGCTGGAGGGACTGTATCTCTCAGCTGGCTTGGGAGCACCTGGGAGTCCCCCAGGAGAAGCTGGAGACTGTAGCCTGGGAAAGGAAGGACTGGTCTGCTCAGCCTGGTACCCCCATGACTCTCTCCAGGAGCCAGCGGTTGGAAATGAGATGTGATGAAAATTGTTGCAAGCAGAATGAACAGTATCTGGTTATCAGTCTGCATTGTGAGATGTACAGTAGCATTACTTCTGCTTCAAATATTCTTTCTTCCCTTACTTTCATGTTCTGTCACACTTCTCAGCCTCACATATGTTTGACAAAGGAGCAAAACCGGTTTTGTGAGGCAGAATGGCCTTTCATTTGTAACAGTTTTTACAATTTTAAATTAATTTAGATGAAGTGTGCAACCATTATTGCCTTTCAACCAGTGCTCTGCATGTCTGTTTGTTGAAAACAAAAGAAAAAGATAACAAGCCGTATTAATAATATGCTCCAAATTAGAATGAGAATGAAATAAAAACAATAAAACTACATTTATTCATGAAAATAGATGTAAATTTGGGACTATGGAGAAGGAACTCAACTGAA